GGGGGGGGGCTGACTGGGTGGTTGGACATTGTGGGTGGGGATCTGCAGGGCTCGCAGCGAGGCCCTTTGATGTGAAAGATAATTACTTGTGCAGTTAAGATAATTAGCGCTGGGTCCAGAATAAAAGCAAACAAGCGAGAATCATCTCGAGTCGCTTTTAGTTTTGTTCYAAATGTGGTTCATGAGAAACATCCAGGCTGTAGTTTTGAAGAGATTTCCTAAATTTCCGCCAAAAATTGTGACCTTAACGGGTGAGTCAAAAGTCGCAGGACACCCTATTGTGTCAGGAAGAAAAAAAAAAAAGATATTTCTGAATGTCTCAGCTAGTAAGTGGGGGGATCTGTCGGGATCATGGCCGCCATCTTGGATCAACGACCTATTTTTCCAAAGATGGACCCTCTCGTTACTTGTTGGGGTATTCACTTTTTTTTTTTTTTGATTTTGAAATGAGTGTCCTGTGACTTTTGACTCAGCTTTTAGTTACCAAGAACCTGTACCTGATGACAACAGCGTGAGGGCAAAGGTTTTCAACCAGGCTAGGCTAACGGCTAACGGCTAACGCCTGTTCATTGTTTTTCAGGCTTATGAAACAACAGTTTTCTCCAAAACAACATACTAGTATATAAAAGTAACACAGTGGTTCTTAATTCTTTATTATCTGTAGAAACCAGCGTTCTGCGTATAATCACCGGATAATACAAGGAGAAACACTGCGTTGTGTAAAAGAACAAGTATTATCTTACACCTTTTTATTAATCAATAATTTAAAATAGAAAATTTGAATCAAAATCCATTTTTATATTGAAGAAAGAAAAACAAGTACTTCGTTTCTGTGGTGCTTTTTCTTTGAGCTCAATTAATTCTTAAAAAACAAAAACTCAGAAATAGTTTTTAAAAACTCATTGGCACGCCCCCGACAAATCACAGCGCTCCCCCAGGGGGCCGCGCCCCACTACTTGAGAAGCCCTGGTCTAGAAAAAAAAATCAGTTTTCTCTTATTTACAGTGATTTATTTTAGGAGTCGTAACTTTTCTTTCATTTCTGAGAATTATTTTTAGACGAAACGACTCCAGCGATGAATCTTAACTCCTTTAATGAACCGAGGCAGCCCTCCTCAACCTGATTTTCACCAAACTAATTAAAAACAATAGTTTCTAATTTAACCATCAACACAACCTCTCTTTTACCTGAGATCATTTTTGTACTTTTAGAAAATGAAAGTTTTATTTTTTATTGTTGGACAGGTAAGTTCAGGTAATATTTGTAAGAAAATCCACCACAGTTTTGGTTAAATGTTCGTAGATAAGTGATTATTTTAGGAGCTGATGAACCCAAGTTTCATTTCTTGTGTTTTTTTATCAAAATCTTGAAGAAACGGAGCTAATATTTGATGTTAGGTCGTTTCATTTCCCCGTTTGGTTTAATGATGCTTCAAATCAATCTCCTCCGTAGCTGGAGGTTAGAAGACGTGACTCTGCTGAAGGTAAATGTGGAGTTGAGGTGTGTGTGTGTGTGTGTGTGTGTGTGTGTGTG